CACGACACGGTTCGCCTTCTCACTCTTCGTTTGGGTCGGACATTTGTTCGATAGAGCATTCGTTCGGTAGGACCTTCGTTCGATCGGACCAAAAAGTCAAACAATCGAGTCAACGGGTCGACGGGTTAACGGATCAATGAGTCTTATCAATCATTCATCCTAATTGCTCCCTGGCGTAGTGTCCATTACATGATAATTTACATCGACCCGCCAAAAGATCGAACATATGATCGAGCCATTTGACTCGATCACTAGCGATGCGCGATTTTGAATGTTACTAATACTAATCATTCGAATACGCAAATTATTCGCCTAAGTCGAATACAAGCACAGACATTCGAATCGAATGATTAACAATACCGAATGCCAATGACATTCGGTCAGGTGCACAAGTAGAATGATTATTATATCGGAACACCTCATTCATCATGTCCATACCAAAATATCGCTGTCCCCGTCATATATACAGTATTTACCATTCTGTCAGAGAGGGCTAGGTGATCACGAGCAGAAATGCTCTAGGGAATCTATGGATTAGTACTACTAACTAGTAATGAGTGATCATTCAAATCATTCGAACACGAAAATTAGTAGGTTACTAATTTGACATTCGAATGACTGGATTAGCGATTACTAACGAGTCGAATATTGAAATCATTCACAATAGCGCATCGCTATCGATCACACTACGGATGGGTCATGATCGACCCGGGTTATCAAAAATGATCGATCGGCACAGGTGTAACGGAAATGTCTCAAAAACTTGAGAGCGTTTTACAATGCCATACGAATGCTGTAGCAGTAGAAAGCATTAATAATACAAATCATATGAGATGACTTATACCATTAAGTTAATAAAAGAATAGCGTGTTTCAGAGTACAACTAATGCCATCTAGCGGTGGCGCGATAGAACTAATGGCGTGTTAAAGTTGTGGTTATATTACGTGTTTCCTTTAGCTTGCCATTTGATCTTCTAGGATTCCTCCTCTTTCCCTGAGAGTTGAAAAAACAAAATTATAAGACAATAACATGTATGTATGTAACAATCAAATCCCTTTTATACACACGCACACATGAGGACAAGTTAGAACGCATGCAAATTTTAATGTTATTTCATATAATTTTACATAAGTAGCTTTATTAACCGACGAGGTTCTCAATTAGACTGTATGTTATCTTTCTTTTTTTGTATGTTACGCGATAACTCCGACATTTGTAAACCGATTTTGATGATTCTTTTCTTGTTTGAAAGAGGTTACCTCAGACATAGTCCCATTTAAATTTTAAGAAAATATTCCACCTCTAAGGGTGGCAAACTAGGGGATGAATGACTTTTGAGGTCGGTTTTTTTTAACATAATATTAATGTAGTACGTGACTTCAGTGGTCAATAGTTTTATATCAAACTCATTGACTTCGAAATAAATGGACGACGGGTCTAATACAAAAACCACGAAAAAAATGTCCCAAGTCAGCCTATTTAAACGTAGTGACGTGTAAAGGAATATGAAAAAGCTAAAACGTTGAATTTAAATTGTAATGTCATCGCAGTACTGTCTAATTTTGCTTGCTTCGCTGTCAGTCGAACAAACGAAGACTAAAGCGTGAATGACGCTCTGTATACGATTTTAACGCCCCATAAGTTATAAGGTATAATTGTAAGTCAATGATTAAACTATAGCCTTTTCTTTTTGCACCTAAAAAAATTAGTTATAATGTAAATTTATTTATATATTCATAATTCAAAGAGCCGAATTAATAACTCCGCTCGTAAACTATCCCATCCCTACACAAAAAAATGTGACTTTTTATGTTATACTTATAAATTATAAGTATTAACTGTGTCCGTTTGTGGAACGTTTTCTTTCTCGCGACATAATAATTTCGGCGAAACATATTTTTGCTTAAAACTTCATCCTCAACTTTCGCTGTGTGCACAAAATTCTCTAATTTATATGCAAATCACGTTTTTAATTCAACGTCTCCAGATAATTAATCATCAGGAGAAATAAACATTTAGGTTATTTGTGTATTTATGCCATCATAGAAGTGTAAATTTTCAGTTCCGAGAACTATGCACAGAAATAGCCTCTCTCTCTCTCTCATCTGAGCGTTGTCCCGGTTGCGTCCTCAGCAGTGTTGCTGCGGAGCCCGGGGTCCGCTTTCCTACTTTTTCTCCTCCACTTTGCACGGTCTTCGGCATCCTTAGTGGTGAGACCATTGGCACGCACCCTTGGCGACGTCAAGCCAGCACTACTTGGGTCTGCCCCTTCTACCGGGGCCCGGCGGAGGTGGCATAGCCAGACAATTGTTTCCCACGTAGCATGCCGGTTTCCGTAAGATGTGGCCGTACCAACGTAGGCGGCTTTCTTGCAGTTTATCTGCAATGTCACGGACGTGAAGGCTGCCGCGGATGCGGGAGTTTCTGACACGGTGTTTCCGTGAAACTCCACACATCCAGTGCAGCGTCTTCATTTCCGTGACACGCAGCTCCTGCTTATGACGCTCAAGTACGGGCCACGTTTCATGCACAGAAATAGCCTATTCTAGCATAAATAATTAAGAATCTATACAACCTCAAATGGCTTTGCTTGATTCCGCATGATAGTGTTGAATTAAACACCTTGGAAAAAATATATAGTAAAATTATGGATGTACACTGATCATATATTATACAGGGTGTAAATTTGAGACGGGGCAGCAAGGCCAGCCACCTTAATCGTTGTAGTTACAGGAAAACGGTTCGAGAAGACTATCCATGAATTTTGAAGATATTTTGATTGGCATTCACAGATTTAAAAAAAAATGGTACAGTCAGCAAGATAAAAGGCAATTTATACTAAACTTTTTTTTATGCCATTCGATCCAGTCTCTGGTAGGGATCAATAGTCTCTATGGGACCAACTGAGGTAAGAGTACTCGAAATGTCAGAAATCGCAAAAAAAAACTTTTTACCATGCATTTTGGAGGGACATATTTAGTAATCAGTTTTATTCTAGGTAGTTAAAAAACTAACAAATTAGTCTATAAATAAGAATTAAGTAAAAACAAATTATAATCATAACATTATTTTTTAAATTTCGAACAGCTGTGTTTTGTTAATAGAGAATTGTCACTTTTTATACGATTTTTAATCAAAATGTTCTCAAATGTAAAAACAAATGAATTGGAGTAAAATTGCAGCCGCTACTTGCTCTTTGCGAAAGAGAGCGAATCGATCATCGATTTTTTACGTTTTTATTTTGAAATACATAATACATATACAATTTGTTAATTTCCTTAACTACCTAGAATAACTGATAACTAGATATGTCCCTACAAAATGTATGGTAAAAAGTTTTTGCGATTTCTGACATTTCGAGTACTCTTACCTCAATTGGTCCCATAGATACTATTGATCCTTACCAGCAGAGACCGGATCGAATGGCATAAAAAAAAGTTTGTACCATTTTTTTAAAATCTGTGAATGCCAATCAAAATATCTTCAAAATTCATGTATAGTCTTCTCGAACTGTTTTCCTGTAACTACAGCGATTAAGGTAGCTGGCCTTGCTGCCCCGTCTCAAATTTACACCCTGTATATTATATATACGGTAGAAAAGATAGAAAAAAAAAACACGAACTTACCTGGAAATTTTAGAAGAAAACCGCTGTATTTAGTAGGTACTTTATATTTTTATATCAACTGAACTAAATAGAGCACGTATATTATACGATATATACATTTTTCAAATGGCATTAATTTAATTAGTAAAAAAATTAATTCTGAAATAAAGCCAGTGTCCCTGTGCTCGACCCAATCAAAATCAACCTTATTAGTACGGAAAAAAATTAAATTCTAGCTAAGGTAGTATCGATACTACTGTACTGTACTGTAGGTGTACTCGAGTACATAACCAGAAATAGAGACGAAATAAAGGCCATATGTTCCTGGTAATTCATCAGTGATACATCACTTATAAATATCAACTATCGTTTGCACTGAAATTACAAATTAGAAAGCTGAAATAGTACAGCGTCAACAACTGACCTGTGTGTACGTCTCCGTATATTCCAAAAATACTCTGTATTTATTATAATAAAGATAATATCTCTAAAAATGTCGTGCTGTTCCATTCGGTGGTGTGGGGAAAAACAGCAAAACATCTAATTACGAAACAAACGGAAACAATTTCATCGGTAATTAAATATTAAATATAAAATTTTGCAATTTTCGTCCATTGTAGCAAAGCTCAAGTTAGCTGGTCGATTTGAAGTGAAACAATCGACGACACCCGTCAATTGTTTCGAGTTCGGACTGGCCAATCGGAGCGCAGTTGTCACAGTAATAATATGGCAGAATGTTTTCAAACAAATTAAATGACATTTCGTCTCTATTTCTGGCTAATATACTCGATGAAGTTAAGTAATTATTTAGCGGTGCTCTTCGCTTTTACGGTGATGTTGGTATTGTCAGAATAAGACGGATATGTTTTTGACAGTACAGTTCTTTCTTTCTTTTACTTCAGTGTCAAACCAAAATCAATAATCCGCAAAAAGCACAGAAAAATTTGTATGGTCCGCTGGTTCATTCCGCGACTTAATTGGCAGAGCATCAGGTACGGATTGCTTGAGATTTCTGCTTAGAATACAGCCGGATGTATTGATTTTTCTTAGTGTTTTGATCTTTGTTATAAAATTAATTATTATTAGGGTGGCTTCATTCGGGTGCCTATGCGGCCTATCGTCACTACAACTATTTACTGACCTATAGATTGTTGTAATAATTATAAATTATAATGTAAAGTTAAGAAACACACGCACATTTTTTTTACTCAAAAGTTGACCGGTGAATTTCGACAGAATTCACTGAGGAGAACCTACGACAACAGAGAACTGGAAAAAAAATTGTATTCATGGGAGCTATCTAAACTTTTTGGTGTCAAACTTCAGTCAGAAGCAAAAGAAGACGTTACTTTTTAAAACTAAATGGAACGTCAATGTCTTCGGTGACTTGTTACGGGAAACGTCACAAAACCAAAATTTGACCAGTGAAACTTACACTTGAGTCGAACTCACGTTGAATTAATTTTTATTATGGTTTAGTTAAAAATAGTAAATCCTCTGTTAATAATGGACTCAGAAGGTACAATATGTTGCCCGGTGTTAGGAGGATTGGTTAGTTCTTTTTTGTTAAATTGTTTTTCGTAAATTTTTATGAAATTAGATTCTGTTCAAGATGGCTCCGATTAAAAATAATTGCAATATACATATATGTACTTCGTTACCGATCTGAATTATAAAACTTCTTCTTACCTATTTATTTTCTTTAATCAAATATATCTGACTCCCAAAGTTTTCATTTTAAATGAGAAGTCGTGATAAGGGGAAAGAAAATTATAAATCAACATTTTTCCGTGAAAAGGAAAATATAAATATTTTTGTTTCGGTGTACCTACTGTGTACGGTTTTAAAAGATCTGACAAGGATTTTTATCACAAGTAATGGTTAATAGGGACATTTTTATTGGCAGAACTAGTAGATTTAGATGTGCGGATCGTTTTCACTGGTCAAATTTTAAAAGAAAAATAAAACTTTGGAAATTGCGGCGTAACCAATGTACTGGCGATAACACCGTGAGCATACGAGGTTTCTGTGTTTTTGTATCTATAGACTCTCTAACTAAACACTAACAAACAATCTACAACAACTGATGACGTAGAATAATACGCAATTATGTGATACGCATTTCGTATACAATGTAATCGTGTGATACGTGATGATGACACGCGATAGAGGCCTGATATACTAAAATGATACGAAAGTGGATATCGGCATTGCGGAAGCAAGTTCGTAGAATGTAGCGTTAATGGGTTGACACTGATCAGTGATTAATTCCCATGGTTGTTGCGAGTTGAATGGCTGTTCGAGTTTGTTTTGCGAGTCATAGCGAATCATAGACGAGATTGTATAATCAGGTCGTACTATCGTATATGTATGACATATCGCTATCCCTGTGGCAGGGTCATGCCAAACTAATGATTATGACGGTCCACTAGTAACATTTTGACATATCATATTTCTATAGCTTATCACCGACACGCGTAACATTTTCTCTCCAAATTTCTGTCGAATATGATACGCGTTGATGATAACAAAAACGTAATTCGCCGAATTAATAAATTAATCCGGGGAGCCTGCATACTGTAAGTGACAAAAAGACTGCGAACATGAAGAATATGTGTTCTGTGCTACTGATCAGTGATTAAATTCCATTTGGTTGCAGAGCACCACGAGTTCAATCTAAGACTGCTCAAGTCTCTGTTTTACGCGGCGCGAATCGTAGACGGCGTAGCTACGGATATGTATCATAGCCACGGCACACCTTCCTATCAGTGGCAGAGGACTATTTTGGGACATACTGTATGTAGACAATTCTGGTATTAGTATTATTTTGGGCGAATAATGTTTACTAAATATGAATTCCATGTGTTTTACAGCAGAAAACTTTTGAGATAATTTGATTGCTATTTTTCGCTTTGTCCTTGTTATGCTTGATTTTGTTTTATAATGTGCCTATACCGAAACAAAAATATTGTGAATGATTTAGTTAAATTTAAACCTTGAAGCCCAGCATCTTATTCATTGTATTTTGTTTCCTATCTTCGGAAATGGTTGAGCGCAATTTTGTTCAACAAGCAAAATATTTTTTTTTTTAAGTTTGAAGCCCAGCATCTTATTCATTGTATTTTGTTTTATGTCTTTGGAAATCGTTGAGTTCAATTTTACTCAACAGGCAAATAAAATATTTTTTTCTTTTAGTTTAGTGTGTCGCAAGCAGGATGTTACGACCACGGCGAGGGCGCGCCCAGTTTAATGAATTCCATCAAAGCCTGGCTTACGGCACACGAAGAGGCGCAGGTACATAATTCGACCCATCCGTAGAACAAAGATTTATGTGCAAGACTACTTGTTCTCAGGACATATATTTCGTTCATTCTTCTTCGCTGTGGATGTCCAATCAACCGTTGTTCGATTTTATATTTCCGAAACGGAATAAGATATATAAATTCTCAAAACACCTTTACATAAGCCTTAGTTTGAATAACAAAATTATTTTCGTAACGTATTTATTCTCTATTCGCTGTATAATCACATCAGACGCTGTTCTTCAGATGAGTCGAAATACTCGTATAATGTTCCCCTTACCATACCTTCTCTTCCTGAAATATTTTTTTATTAAGCCTACATAAAATAATTATATAGATTTCTGTTTTTATTATTATTTTTCATATGCCTATCTAACTATTATTTATTTGAACCACATTATAATTTAATAACATGATGAACTGCATGTTGTCTTAAATTAATGTCTTTATAGGAAATGAAACTATTTTTCCGGATTTAAATCGCGTATATTTGTTTTTATAATTGTTTAATAAAACACGCAGCAAAGAGAACAATAGGTTAAATACAATAGATTAAAATTGTAACTATAGTGGAAAAAATAGGGTGGTTTGCATCAATATTAGACATAAAAAGAACTATCGAACTGGTTGAAGACTGTACCACCTCAGTCAACCGTGACCATGGGAACTGTAAAGGGCCCGAAACATCGGTTTGTTTGAAAAAATAAATATACGCGATTTAAATCCGGAAAAATAGTTTTATTTTCTATGTGTAACAATCGCGAAAACCTAAGAACTTAATGTCTTTATTTTAATAGGTGATGCTAGCGAGTGTGCTTGTGGTGGTAGGCCTATGGTGGCTTGTTCGCACCATTCTGGCGCTGCTAATCAATCTCATCTGCCCTTTGATGGTCGTCCTGCTGGCCGTAGTGAGTTTTTGTTGTTTTTATGTCGCAATTCATGAGGCTAAATTTTGGCCGGGTTATTTAACTAACTTTTTGGCGTAATGGTATTTCTGGAACCTTCATTACTAGCAAGGTGCCTATCATATTTAATTCTTAATTAGTAATTTGATACGTGTTAGTGATAATGGAAATACATTACGCCTAAATGATATGTTTGCATATTGTAGTTATAACACTAGTCTTGTAACAAAAAAATTAAAGTAGGGTGGAAGAGTGTGAGATCTATGCTCCGATATGAGTCTACTCCACAACATCTGTTCCGAATAATTAATATGCTTTACAAGTGATATCGCTCCAGGAATTAAGATATAACACCATATGATTTTCCTAACAATGTCGGTTTTTTCAGGCCCTTTTTAACAAAAAAGTACAAGAGTGTATTTAAACACTTTTATTTTTTGACAAAACAATATTTATGAAAATAATTTCGTAATTGTACCAATTAATTATTCTATCTTGCTTAATTTTCAACGGTTTTAACCATGTAAAGTTGTGAGTGGTATGCAAAAAGCCATTGCCTGAATATTTAAAAAGTCCTATTGTTCTCTTTGCTGCTTGTTTTACTAAACAAACAATAAAAACGAGAAACTCCACAAGGACAGTTAAGTACTCCATTTATTGTCGCATATGTTAGCCGTGTTGGTAGTATAATGAATACTGATGCCATCCGACATTTTATTGTATTCGGCGTGATAGCGGTTTTAACTCCTAACCTTCAAGATACTGCCCTCCCATTGTCGAGATCTCGCCCCAGCACCATCAGTATTAATAATTTATGAAAGTATGTTGCTAACCATAAAATGTAAGGCGACTTAAAATTCATGCTTTTGTTTGAGAGTTCTGGCCAAGCTTGAATAAACTTCGAATTAGTTAAGTTACTCAGGTAAAAACAACGCAGTTAATCGATGTGTTAGCCAATGTCTTAAAGTTCAACGTGAGGTATCACATTTTTTTTAAATTTTAATATGCTGCGTATGAGATGAAGCAAATTTTGTAACATCATTGGAGGTGAAATGACTGTCAAGTGAATTTTTCACATACATAGGGCGCACTATAAGTTTCCGGAACTGGCCACTTACACAAACAATATTTAAAAAGTAATAAAAACATTTGAAAATGGAAGTCTTTAGCTGTAGAATAAAGTTTGTTTCATCTGACTGTCACTTGTTTTTACATTGTGGCGTTATTTTAGAAATTGGTTGTCTACATCACCATGGATTTAACTCGTGAACATTTTCGTAGTATGATTTTCTACGACTTTTAAGTGTAATCTAACAGGTCAGCGGAGCTTTGCTCGGCTTGTAACTGCTTTTGGCGATGAAGCACCATGCAAGACGACTATTTATAGCTGGTTTGCAGAATGGAAACGCGGTCGTGTGAATTTCAGTGACGAATTTCGTGATGGTCGCCCGTCCACAGCTGTGAACAACAAAAACATCGATGCTGTGCGCCGTGTGAATACTACACAAACATTTGGGTGTTAAAAAGCTGTGATCTCGGTGTATTCCATACAATTCGACTGAGACTCAAAAAACAGATCGCTTGGTGCATAGCCATGCTTACCAGATTTAAAGAAGGGGCGTCAAATTTGGTGTGGAACATAGTAACAAGTGACAAAACATGGATTTAAAGTTACGATCCCATAACAAAGCAGCAATCGAGCGTATGGGTCTTTCGAGATGAGCCGAAACCAACCAAAGTGGCGTGCGTGCAAAGTGCCTCTAAGCGGATGATTGCTTCTTTTTTTAATAAAACTGGACACATGGCTACTGTTGCTTTTGAGAATCATTGTACCGTGAATAGTGATTGGTACACGACCATTTGTTTGCCGGAAGTTATTCACCAAAATCCGTAAAAATAACCGTAAACGCCGCATCATCTTACACCACGATAATGCCAGTTCTCATACGGCCAGACAGACAAATGAATTTTTGAAGGTGAACAACGTTGACCTTATGGAGCCATCCCGCGTACAGTCCCGACCTGGCACCTTGTGACTTTTATTTATTTCCAAAAATCAAGAAAAAAATTAATCTCATCAGATATTACGATGTAACCAAGATAGTACACGTTTTTGTAACAAACAGTAGTTTTATTACACACATACGTACAGTGCGTCTATTTTCACACTGTCTCTCGGCAATCATCGGATTTCCGAATGCACACGAATATTAATTTCCATGCCATTCATTATTAGATTTCAAATCTGTAATAATTTGAATTTTGAGCAACGTACTTTATTGTATTTTTTTATTTCCATGTGTATTATATAGAGCTGCAAAACTATTTCCCTATTTTTCATAACATTTAGTACATATCAATAAGCAAGTTGAGAAAAGTATAAAGTAAATAAAGTGTGTTTTTTATGTAACTAAAAATTTTTATTTTTTCGGTTATTAATCGTTTCAATTCAGTCCGTATCTGAACGCATTTCTTCATCTGACATAGCTATGTTAGTATGTTTGCCATCGATGAAGTAATCACTTTCCGCTGCTCGTACAGGTTTTTATTACAAAATTGTCCATATACGGTTCAAATACTGGATCATAATAATAATAATAACGCATACACTCAACATAGCCCCGCACTAGGGAAACCCTGTGTCACGAGTGCCATGGACACACTATAAAGACAATCACAAATTACACCCAAACTCACGAGATAAATAAATGAAAAGGCCCGGAAATCGAAGCTGGGACCTCTGAGTGGCAGTCATGGTAACCGTTCGGCCACAGAGGCTGTTTTTATAGATAAAAGAACTGATTTGTCTTTTTTATTATATACTTTTAAAATATTCATTACTGTCCGATTCAAACACCACAAGCTACAAAAACACGTTTTTGGACTTTTTGAAAATAACTGTTGTAGTCTTTCTTGAATGTATCGACTTCTTGTAAAAAATGCAAGTGCACGGTATGAATTATTTATGGTACCTGTGACTTTAACGGTTTTTCTCCCATTGTGTAATAAATAAGAAATGTAACAGCAAGTCTATACATTTCCAAGTCGACTGAAAGCGTCAGGTCTGTGCCAAAGGCAACGGGCAACTAAATAAAATCCGAAGACAGCCGAAACACAAGTTTGCCGAGTGACATTGGGAAAATAGAAGCACTGTATATTGCTTAAACATAAGACCTGGTATATATACCTACTCCTCCACTCCTCCATTATGTTCTCTTAAAAGCATTTTATTACTCGCAATTTATATACATAAATTCAAAAATGTAATTCATAAACATTTGGCCCACAGTATGGATTCCATTATTCGACCGATGGAATTTCAACTCAGCCTCCTCAGTCTCCTCAACTTCCTCTTCCTGTCCCTAATCCGCGCACCCAGTATTATTTGCGCACTAGAACCATGGCAGAATTGTCGTGAAAATCTGGACTTGCAATTATGAATGGTAATTTTAGACGCATGTTTATAAATATGATTTTAATTTTGGAGAAGGGGATTTGTATGGCATGTTTACACGGAGTCGACTGCAGCGTTTTCGACATGCGAATTAAAATGACGATGGCAACGCAATCGACGCGCCGTTTACACCGAGCCAACTAAGTCGGGTCGACGATTCAGTACACACTCTGTGGGTTAGTAACCTGTCGACCTAGTGTAAACTTGCCATTAGAGATTGAAGAGGCTTTGAAGTATAATTATGATTGCGAAAATGCGGTCTCAATTTCCTTTAACGCAAAAAGAAAGATATTATTTTAAATTTTCATAATAATTTTCAACACAGGGGAAACCTTTTGTCGCGGGTGCCAAGGACACACACATCGACAACAAACAAATGACACCCAAACTCACGAAATAATTAAATGTACTAATGTAAAATACAAATATTTTTCCCGGCCAGATAATCGAACCTGGTACCTCTGCATGGCAGACCAACATAGTAACGTTCGGCCACAGAGGCAATAAAGACATTATTATCTATCCAGAAATTGTTACTCAATCTTTTGTAACCTTAACAAGTTTAAGAACAAGTTTTTCGTTTTATATTTAAAATTTATATATTTTGAGGATAATTATATAAATTAAATCGGTAAGATCTACAAGGGATATTTCAACATGACGCAAAGATCCATTCATAAATCATGATCATGATCGTTTGCGAGGATACGCTGAGGTTATCGTGTGATTTCCTTCAATTTAAGTACGCGATCATGATACCCATTTGTGATACGCGTCAATTTGATACGCTAAACTGACGTGAATATTCATTTTTATGGCCAGTATCTTTATTCTTGTCTTTTTGTTTCAGATAATGGTCCCTCAACTTCGAGGCCCATTGTTGGGCCACAACTATCCAGCGGTAGCCAACATCATGAGTAACATCCTAACGAAGCTAGGCGAAAACATCAAACCACACGAGCTTTAATTAATGAGACTAACTTCGTAATATTCTGAAATAATTTTGTATTACGTAATGTTAGTCCATTTAAGAAAAATAGAAAGTGCTTATAGTAAACGTGAAATAGTAAAATATAAAAAAGAAACTTGATTTTGAGTTAAAATTTCAGTAAAATGACGTCTTTTAACTAACTCCGTTTTTAACTTTTAATTTTAGTACCGGCGGTAGGTTAATAGAGAATGGTTGCTTCGCAATTGAACGCACAACAATAAATCAGAAAAGCACAACAATGAATCAAAAAAGGCAGAAGTGGTTTGTTAGCGTCCGACACGTGCCAACTATAAGGTCTCGAAAGACCAATCTGAGCTCTGTCCGCCATTTTCGCTTCGTATGGTAAGGTTGTGTCATTCTTTCGCGAAAATTTTCTAAAATCGTAGAAAAACGCCTTATTGTGCTGTTTTCGAGTACAAAAATGATAGCTGCACCCATCATTCAGCCATACGACGCCCACTGCTGGGCATAGGCCTCCCCCAACGATCTCCACGACGATCGGTCCTGCGCTGCCCGCATCCATCACTTGCTTCCTGCGACCTCCACCAGATCGTCGGTCCACCTGGTGGGGGGCCTACCCACTGAGCGTCGTCCGGTGCGCGGTCGCCATTGAAGAACCTTTTCGCCCCAACGGCCATCAGTTCTCCTAGCTATGTGCCCCGCCCACTGCCACTTCGGCTGAGCAATTCTTCGAGCTATGTCGGTTACCTTAGTTCTCCTACGGATTTCCTCATTTCTGATTCTATCACGCAGAGAAATACCGAGCATCGCTCTCTCTATTGCCCGCTGAGTGACCTTGAGCCTTCTTATGAGGCCCATAGTGAGGGACCACGTTTCTGATCCATATGTGATCACTGGCAACACACACTGGTCAAAGACTTTCGTCTTGAGACATTGAGGTAATTTGGACGCAAAGATTTTTTGGAGTTTCCCGAACGCTGCCCATCCGAGCTGGATTCGACGAGAGATCTCTTTCTCAAAGTTGGACTTACCTAACTGGACTGTCTGCCCCAGGTATACGTACTGGTCAACAACTTCGAGTGTAATGCTCCCAATTTTAACTGGAGCGGGTACAACATGGACATTTGACATGATCTTCGTCTTGTCCATGTTCATCTTAAGACCCACTCTTTGGGAAACACTACTGAGATCTTCGAGCATTGTGTTCAGGTCTCCCAAGGTCTCAGCCATAAGAACTATATCATCGGCAAATCGAAGGTGTGTTAGGTACTCGCCATTGATGTTGATGCCAAGTTCTTTCCAGTCCAGAAGCTTGAAAATATCCTCCAACGCAGCAGTGAACATCTTTGGAGATATCACATCTCCCTGTCTCACGCCTCGTTGCAGTTAGATAGGATTAGAGCTCTGATCCTGTAATCGGACTGACATAGTGGCATTTTTGTATAAGTACCTTAACACCTCTATATACCTATAGTCTATTTGGCACCTTTGGAGAGACTGCAGCACCGCCCAGGTCTCGATCGAATCAAAGGCCTTCTCATAGTCCACAAACGCTAAGCAAAGTGGCCGGTTATACTCCTCGGTCTTCTGTATAATCTGCCGCATTCTGTATAATCAGCGTATGGATGTGATCTATGGTACTAAAACCCTTTCGGAAACCGGCTTGTTCGGGAGGTTGGAAGTCGTCAAACCTACGAGCGAGACGATTCGTGATAACTCTCGAAAACAACTTATAGATATGGCTCAGAAGCGAGATTGGCCGATAGTTCTTCAATAGTGTTTTATCACCCTTTTTGAAGAACAGAACGACCTCGCCTCGGCCCCATGTCTTCGGCGTTTGACCTTCGACGATGACAGAATTGAAAAGCTTCTGGAGGACTTTAAGTATCGGCTTGCCACCCGCTCTCAGAAGTTCTGTAGTGATTCCATCATCGCCCGCCGCTTTGTTGTTCTTGAGTTGTTTGAGAGCCACACTAATCTCATACAGGCTGACGTCCGGGATATCTTCGGTATAATGTCGGGTAAGCTTGGCTCTGGGGTCTCTAACCTCGCTTTCAACAGGTGCTTTCGTGGAGTATAGCTGTCGATAGAAACTCTCTATCTCCCTCAGGATCTCAGGCTTAGATGAAATGATGCTACCGTCATCAGTCTTTAGCTTCGTCAGTTGGCTTTGCCCAATAGACAGATCTCTCGCGAACACCTTGGAGCCTTTGTTCCGCTCAATGGCCTCTTTAATACGCTCTGTATTAAATTGGCGTATGTCACTAGTCAAAGACTTCGATATCTGCCTATTTAGCCGCCTGTAGTGACTTGCATCCTCTGAGTTCTGTAGCCTCACTTCATTTCTATGTTCCATGAGTTGAAGTGTTTTGTCGGAGAGTTTCTTTATTCTGGTACGATGGGTTTTGAAAAACTTAGACCCAACCGTACGGACATTGTCCACCACCATGTTGTTTAGATGGTCCACATCTATGCAGTTTTCGAGGGCTTCGAAGCGGTTTTGAAGTTCGAGCTGAAAGCTCTCGGGGTTTTGGAGTTGTGCAGGTATTGGTCGGAGCGTAGACTCTATCAGTCGAGTTCTTTCCAGCCGGATATTGATATTCAATGTGCCTCGTACCAACCGGTGATCACTTCCTGTTTTAACGGTGTTGATCACAGAGACATCATTGAATATATGCTTTTTCGTCGACATGATAAAGTCAATCTCATTTTTTATTTTGCCGTCCGGACTCATCCAGGTCCACTTACGAGTTGGAGATTTCCTGAAAAAGGTGTTCATCATATAGAGGTTCTCCTTTTCCATGAAATCAACCAACATCCGGCCTCTGGCGTTCCGTTGTCCAACTCCAATTGCCCCACTCTCAGTTCATCACCGCAACGCTTTCCCAACTTTGCATTGAAGTCCCCCACAACAATCGTGTAGTGGGTTTTGTAGCTATGCATGGCTTTTGAGATCTCCTCATACATAGCCTCCACTTCGTCATCTGGGTGTGTCGAGGTCGGAGCATAAACCTGAATGACATTCAACGAATATCGTTTTGATATTCTGAGTATCAGGTATGCCACCCTGGTCGACACACTTCCGATGGAAATCACGTTGTTAACAAGGGACTTGTGGACAATAAACCCGACACCGCCAAGGGACTGTTGGTCGCCCTCCCGGTAGTACAGTAAGTTGCCGGAATTAAGGATTATCGAGTCCTCCCCCTCTCTTCGGACTTCAGATAGCCCAATGATATCCCAGCGTAACTTACTAATAGCTTCTTCCAATTCTGTGAGCTTTGCGTCGGTCCTCAATGTGCGCGTGTTGTAGGTTGCCAGGTCCAGTCGTCGTCGTTGATGGTAGCCGGGACTCCCCCGGGGATTCTTCGCACCCCATGCCCTGTTTCCAAAGCCGCTACCGTGACTAGGAAGAGCCGGTCTGCCGGGGACTAGGGGCCAATTCTTTGGTGTGTGTATCATAGGGGGGATTGTGCCATAATCGCCACGCTTGGCAGGCGGGTTGGCGATCGCAGTTCTGGCCAAGATGGGTAGAAGACGCTGCTGCCCGTCTTCTTCTGACAATTTTTTTCCTTAGTCGCCTTTTACGACACCCACAGGATAAGAAGGGGGGTGGTGCTATTCTAGGCCGGCACCACACGGCACCTGTAGCTGCACACATTGACTTACAATTATATGGTATTATTTTCTGTATTAGTATTGTGGTCACATTCACAATTACTATTAATTAAATTATGTTACTATTACTTAACCAATGTGTTAAGTTATATATTGATTGCTTGACGAGCCTGTACTTTAACCTACTTTTAAATAAGTTGTCCGAAGTGGAATCAACAATTTCAAGAGGCAGCCAGTCATATACTGTCGGGCCCAATAAATGTATTAATTTGCCCGTTTTCATTAACTTACAATTATATGGACGTCGGGTCCGCGCTAAAAAGTGTCCGAACTTATAGGGCGTTAAAATCGTATACAGAGCGTCATTCACGCTTTAGTCTTCGTTTGTTCGACTGACAGCGAAGCAAGCAAAATTAGACAGTACTGCGATGACATTACAATTTAAATTCAACGTTTTAGCTTTTTCATATTCCTTTACATGTCACACCGTTTAAATAGTTTAAATAATTGTAAACAACGTAATTTTAATAAATTTCATTATTACATGCATTGACTTACAATTATATGGACGTCGGGTCCGCGCTAAAAAGTGTCCGCACTTGTAAGGCGCTAAAATCGTATACAGAGTGCGACACTCCGCTTTAGTCTTCATTTGTTCTACTGACAGCGCGATACTGCGATGACATTACAATTTAAATTTCGAATAGGTTGACTTGCGACATTTTTTTCGTGGTTTTTGTATTAGACCCGTCGTCCATTTATTTGTAAGTCAATGGCTGCACCAAAAATATTTCCCGTAGTAGTATTTCAAATCATGCGTAAGTCCCATTTTAATAAATATTCAATTTTCTGATTATCTATTCGTTCAGATTAGACATGTGCGCCGATCGTAAAATTATTGCCGGCGGCGTCTGACTGTTTTTAGAACGGCGGCAGCGGCGTGATCGGTGTGAAATCAGCGTGGCTTATATTTTTCAGATGTTTAAAAAAGCGCTTAAACATCGTATAAATCGACCTTTATCATTTGGTGCGGATTAAGCAAAGATGCCACAGTCAATTAATATATCTGTTATTGGATATCTGTGATCGAGAACATCTAACATTCTGTTAAACTTGTTATTTTAATCAATTTATGATGTTCAGTCTTCTTTAGTATGTCTTCAATTTTGTATTTAATGCTTAATTTATTGTGCAATTTGAATCCAAACTCAGCATTTCCACGGTGGTGTGGATTTTTACTGAAACTTTTATCAATTTATTGCATAATATGCCATTCACCATCGGTCACGTTTAGTACATTTTTTAGTTGGTTTTAATTGTCGGAGTGTCACTGGAATAAGTCATTGTGGAAGAGCACGTTAAAGCACTGTGTTGATTATATTCGTCAGTCAAA